CGTCACATATTTACATTGATTAAAGATTTTATTTTTCTTGTTAAGTTCTTCGTATTTTCCATAGGCTATGTTAACATTGTGCTTGTAACTCTCGGTATAATGCGGTTAATTAATAGGATTTAAAAAAATTTATACAGGATCACGATTCTCGCGTAGGGGCTATATTTTCGCATATTCCAGATTATCCTTAATAATCACGAGTGCTTTGGAAGGGTTTTGCTCTGCTCTCGTTCTTCTCCCTCGGTTCTCGTCTCGCTTCGTCTCGCTTCTCGTCTATCAGTTTGACATCGTTGTATAACAGGATCTCACGCCAAGTACTGAGCCGGTTAACTCGCTGCAACCCAATCTACTCTTTCTCGTTTCAAATCTCGAGCTCTTCCTCACTCTTTCTTCTTACCCTTCTCATTTTCCTCTTTCTTCGCAACGTTATTCGCTCCCATGCGAGGACAGTCGCACCTCTTTATGCATATCAGGATGCAATTTCATTATATAATTATATACACATCAAACTTGATCTTGATCGAATAATAAAAAAAAAAAATAAATAAATCTACATATTTTATTAGAGATAATCATTATTCAAGATTTTATATGTACAAGAAAACCAGTAGAATGATTAATCTTTTTTCTTATTCGCTAGCGAGTGTGATTATTTTTGTTACCACTCGAAATACGATTTATGCGCATCTTCTTTTTTTTATTCGGGATAATCGTTAAAAGCGTGGTGTGTAAATTCGCTTTCGGCATCGCGTTGAGGGAAAAGGGTAGGCGGCCTATCGTGGAACCCCGCGTTCGATGAATTATTCAGGGTGTCTTGATCTCCGGTCGGGGCCGACCGACAGACAGACGGATTCCGATCACTGCGGTGGTGCCTCGGTGATTTTTTTCCGGGTGCGGATCCTCCCTTCTTGCGCGAGCGAGCCAGATTAAGATCGCAGGAATCGCCTGTCAGCTGCGACGACTCGCCGGCGATCGCCCGGCTCTCAAGATCGTCTCGTGCGCCATGTACGGCAGTCGTCGCCTTCCTCGCTTCTTCATTCATGCGCGGCTCCATCCTCGATCGACGTCGAGTCACCGGATAGACAGGTAGAAACACTTCGAGTCACAGACTCCGGTCGAGCTTGACCGCGATGTACTACCATATTCAGTCATGTTAAAGCCACAAATGCAGACATTATAGTGTACGGAATATACTCAGGATTACTCCGGATTGCTCCAAAAATTGAATCTCAAATTAAGACATAAGCAGGGCGTCTAGCGGTCAGGGAAATTTGGAAAATTGTCGGGCATTGTCAAGGAATTTTGTAAATCTGGAATTGTCGGGGAAAAGTCAGGAAATTTTATTATTTATCTGGATTTTTTTTACATTATTCTACATTTGTCTTTGAAATTTTCTATTACATAAATATAAACTTTTCCCGGTAGTATGATAAATTATATATTTGGAAAAAATAATACTAAAAAGTCAGGGAAAAAATTAATTTCTGGTCTTGGAAAATCTGAAAAAGTCAGGGAATTTTTTTCATTGAATCTGCTAGACAACCTGATGAGGATCAAGCATAATCATATCATAGTTTTAGAGTATTTCTTCTAATGTTTATAATAAAAAGAAATAATATGGACATTTTCTTAATTTTGGAGTCTTCTATTTCTGTTGAAATAATTCTTCAGCAATGTGTACTTAAAATGTATGCTTATTTATTTTACAAACTTTCACGATATTCACAATTTTTTATTGTACTAGAGAATTTATATATAATATCGTTTTATAAACAGCAACCAATTTTTTTGCATTCGATCCGCAATCCAGTAACGGATGATTGAAACGTTCGCCAAGTCGTAAGTGAAGATGTTAATAGCGCGTTGTACGCGACGGGTGATGCTAATTCCCGATTATCTCCGAGATGACGATTTTCACGCTTATAATTGGCGAGACGACTCTTTTCGACCGTGAAGTCGAGCATGCACGGTAGTCCCGCACGAGGATTAACGTTAACAAAGTCCGAGACGTTCATCGTCGACTTGACTCGCTCGGCTTAAACGAGCCGATTCGTCGCGCTATACACCTGACTTCGTCTACGGGGTGTCCGTTCCGTAAAGCTTCTTACTTCATATTTTTATATATATATATATATATATAAAAAAACATAGTATAATCTTTATCGTAATATATTTTGGACATGTGAAATTGTTTTATTGGTATTTTTCCAAAGAGAAAAAATAATTATTATTATTAGGTACCCCGTTAAAAAGGTTTTCATTTAAAATCTCTTTGATTTGAAACGTAAAAGAAATAAGATTTAAAATATATTTCTGTAGCAGGTATAACATTTTGTTGACTAATTGGCTCTTATATGATCAGTAATGTTACGCGGTTTCTCTTATATTATTATTTTTTTATAATAATTTTAAAAGATTTATCAGTCGCGTCGATTGTAGCTACATAGGTAGTTCATAAATTTTCACCATTTTCCAGTAACTCGTTTGCAAGACTTCCGTTATGAACTTGTCGGAATTACATGGTTTTCGAAAGCGATGCGAACGCGACGGGATAATACTCGATCATGTGCTGCATGATCGTACTTGACATGCGTGGGAGTTTTTTAACCGTCAGTGCGGATCATTTCGAGCGTGATCATTTCGCGAAACCGAATGACGATCGATCGGCGTGGAATGACGCGCATCACCTTTTTCGAGGTATACTCGTTGGTCCGTCATCGTTCGTGACGTAGAAACCCGCAACTGCTCGTCACCGCTTGTTTATTTGACGGGTCCGATTGAACTCGCGGAATTAACCCTCTGGCGTTAACTTTTTCAAACAATGATTCATACATATGTATTGCTCACGTAATATCAAGGACTATAAAAGCATTTATTCAAGAAAGATTCAATGTATAAAAAAATATTACAAGTGTTTTCCTTTAGGTATCAAAAAATGATGTAGAATTTTAGAATTTTTTAACGTTACAAAATTAATATTAAAAAATAGGATTTTAATTAAAAAAAAATTAAAACAATTTTTGAAGAAAAGAAAATAAATACAGAAAATGTATGTAAAACTCATTTTCTGGGAAACCTTTGAGATGTATGTACAAGAAAAAGAGAAATTATATTTCGTCTAATAAGATCGTAATATTTTGTACACCCGTTACACACGTCCGTAAGCATGCAAAGGTCGGCGGCTTCCCCTCACGCGCGTCTTTTGAGGTTCTTTTCGCCGCCTAATTGTATCGGGTGTCTTAATCAGCGTGTAAGCTACTAAAGCCAGAAGGCCAAAAGTGAACGAGAAAGAACGGTGAAGGAGCTCGCCTCCGCACGGTGGGCCATCGTTCTGCATCTCAAAGGCGCAATTTAAAAAAGTATGTTAAGTCGTTGCCATTATGCTCGATGTACTTATCCGCTCCGGGATCCTGTCAGACATGAATTTAGATTATGGCCCCGGTATTGTGCGCGCTTCCTCTTCTCCATCTTCTAACATTCGAATAGAATTTGGAACCGACTTTTGGCGTATATCTTGACCTCTCTCGCTTTCTTGAAATATGAAGAAAATTTTCGCGCTAATGGCGTTATAATGCTGAATTATTTAAGTTCTTTACTTATTTTGTTTTTTTAATGTTTTATATTTGTTTATTATCACTCGTACAAGGAGAGAAACTATAATTATTTATAATTGTGTTATAACTAGAATTGTTTCTTCTACTGTTTGTCCGTAATTTCTGTGGTCAACTCAAAATGTTCTGATGTAATAGCTAATGTGATAACTTTGAACATACACGAAATGAAAATTTTATTACCTGACATGTGTATCAATTCATCCGAGTATGAATTTCGATGGGCGGAGAGAGAGAGAGAGAGAGAAAGGAAGCATAGACGATTACACTAGGGTTAAAGTATATAGATTGTCGTACGGCACGTGCTGAGTGTATACTAAAAAGCAATAAACTCCTTCGGGAACTTATCTCTTGTAATGGCAACGCGGTAATATCTATATAGGATCATAATAAAGCTACCTACGTTCAAAACGACGAGGGCCTTTGAGGGCATATTGGTGCTTCATCTTTTGATCCTGCTCGCTAATTCGCCTCGTGTATTTAGGGATGTACGAGTCACATGAGTATGAACGCGTAATTGAATCGAACGAGCGCGGGACGCTTTATAAACTACTATGAATCTTGACGATAATTGAAAAATGTCAAAAATACCAAGTGGGAAATGAAAAAAATTAATTCAACAGAGAATCAATTGTTATATCGATATATTAATAAATTAGTATTATAAAATATTGGCAGTTTATATAGTTTTATGAAGGATTAAGTTAATACTCTATGATTTAGATAATACAAATTTATTTATAGAGATTAATATATTATATATAAGTTTATATATAATTTTTGGTGGAAGGGGAGATTTATTTTAATATCTTATAATTCAGAGGGCGACTAAACGCATTTGCAGATTTTAATGCATGATATGACGATATCTTTTACTGAAACCATGAAAGCAAGTGCGAAATAATTTGTATCTCCTTTTCAATTGCATATATCTTGAAATTTTATATTATTTTTTTACTTTAATCTTACTTGTGCACGATTTTTAATATACTTATTATTATTGTTTATCGATAATTATCCATATCATTAATAATGAATATTAAGCCATAACAAATATTAATAATTAAATTATATTTTACATAAATGTCAATTGAATATATTGAGAAGCTTTACTAAAAAAAAAAAAAAAAAAAAAAAAAAAACTCCATTAATTGAAAATAATGATATCGGGGCGAAGGACTTCTCGGGATTTTCAGGCTTCGATAAAAGATCGAATTCGGTTTACTCTACGGGTTTACTGTCAATTGCAGAGTCTGCCAGCCTGAAAGTGTCGTCGGGTGCCTTCCTCTGTGCATGACAAGCCTCTTTGCTAATTGATAATAATTCTCTGTGTCTCTTTACCTTGATGATGACGATGACTGATGACCACTGTTATATGGGTGATTTTAGTGGGGCCTGTGTTCGGGGGCCGATGCGGCGCGGAGGCGCTCGGTCTGGGGCTAGGGCTGTCACCGGGCCCGGCCTACAGGTTCGCTCTGCCCCCGGGACTCGCTGCCAAGACCACCCGCTGCCTTGTATTCGACCAAGGTAGGCCTACCAGCCATCTTCATTGCCGCGATTGTCTTTAATTCTTTTATCTTTGATCCTTTCAGTTTCTGACGTTCGATCAATTTTTTATGTATCCCGGATAAAAATATATTATTATATTTGTATGTTATAATATATCAGTAGGTATATTAATATATAAATATATTAATATATTAAATATATTAATATATTAATATATATATATATATATATATATATATATATCGATCAATTTTTTATGTATCCCGGATAAAAAAATATTATTATATTTGTATATTATAATATATTAATAGGTATATTAATATATTAATATATATATATATATATATTCGATCAATTTTTTATGTATCCCGGATAAAAATATATTATTATATTTGTATATTATAATATATCAATAGGTATATTAATATATTAAATATATTAATATATTTATATATATATATATATATATATATTCGATCCATTTTTTATGTATCCCTGATAAAAATATATTATTATATTTGTATATTATAATATATTAATAGGTATATTAATATATTAATATATTAATATATATATATATATATATTCGATCATATTTTTATGTATCCCGGATAAAAATTTTATGTATATTTGTATAATAATATATTATTATATTAATATATTAAATATATTAATATATTAATATTTAATATATTAAATATATTAATATATTAATATATATAGTGATATGAATTATAAATGTGGATGCTTTTTAAGAACCGAAAGGATCGATGATATTTATTTCTTGTACATGTGAGTGCATTTAAATGCGAAAGTAACATATAAGATCTCTCAGAAAAATTACTTGCGTGCAAAATGCGCGCTACTGCCTCGTTTCGCTTAAAAGTGAGAATTAATACAATTAAATTTTGAACGAATTGCACGTTCGAAATGAAAACTTATTTTCGACTTATGCCACGGCTGAATATTTTCAAGAGAGAATGGACGAATGAAAGCATAATTAACGTGAGGAACGACCTGGTCGCGTCGATAATCAGATCCGAAATGCATAATTAATTTTCGTTAAATAGCGTCTAGTTGCATCAGTAATTTTCGGGGAATCGCGTAATGAAAAAATAATAATAACAGGTAATTTGATCGAAGCAATTTCGGTATAAGAGTAATTTTAATTTAATTATATTGATTGCAATTTAGTTTGATTCATCACAATCATTAAAATTTATGAGGTTATTTCAACTGAATTATTTGATTAAATTAACATTATTTTATTTGTAGTCATTATATGTATAAGTTTCATTGTTCAAAAAATATAATGAGTAAATTTAATACGATATTCATTGAGAAAAAAATCTGAAAATTTGAAACACAATTTGAGTATAATTCGAAATACAAATTCTTTATTCAATTTTTCTTTCACACTTCAATTATATATATTTACATATGAAAAATAAATTGTGATTTGAAAGTAATGCAAGTTTATATAATAGTTTGCAAAATTTTATTTCAAGTGCAGCAGTAAGTTTAGATTCGCGTGATGAAGCTTAGAGAAATTTGACTTTTCGACTTGCATATCCCGATTTTGTCACATTTCGTCACCGTCGCCGTTTCCGATATATCGCAAGCCTTGATGCAACGCGACACAGGCGTGTGCATCGGCGCATCAGGTGCGCCGGCAGGCAGCTGGCGAAAGGCCCGACGGGTCTTAGGAGATTTGTGGACAGGAAGATGAGCATAGCTCGTGGGCTTAGTTCGTGCAAACGCGCAAGTCGATCTGGTAGCTGGATTTGCGGGATCGATGGACCGCCGCGACCGACCGGCACTCCGAAATTCGCGAGAATGAACAGACGGATCGATAACTTGACCCGCCGCAGCCGCTGCGGCGGTATCCCCCGACTTAAGCCCGAAATCGATCGGAATCAGTATCTACCTTAGCCGGTCCCTGATTCCGCCCTGTTAATTGGCCGGCTCTGCGTCCCTCAAGATTAATGACTTTCATAAGGTGAATGCACCGGTATCTGACGCTTTAAGCGTCAGTGATTCTCAGCCGCGTCGCCAAGTTTTACCAGTTAACTGCTGAATTGTAGCTATCACACACACCTTTCATTTGCATGAAAAAGAATATTCTTTTTTTTTTTTTTTTTTAATATGAATAATGAGAAAAAATATCATTTACAATAAAGATTTATAATAATATATTAGCATCAGTATGTGTATGTGTAACAAAATAAATTATTATGTATAAAAACTTGGAAATATTAAATTAAATTACTATATATGAAAAAATACAACTCCAATGTCGTCTTTTAATCATTGCCATATATTTAGCACTCGATTATAGTGCGGCGCGATCGAGATACCACTAAAAGTGGAGAACAGTGGTTAATGGTGAAGGTTAAGTGGTGACATGTATTCGGATGATATATATTCGAGATTTTTTATCCCCGTATGCGCAACGGTAATTCCCGGTTTTATTGCCGTGAAAAGTGAGTGTTTGCTGTTGGTTTAGCGCATTCGCTTAAGCTTGACTGACATGACACTAATTTGGAGATTGCTATAGCGTTTCTAAAATATCTCACATACGTTCAGAAGTTTTTTTAATAATGATAAATGATTGACTCTCTAAAGTTACACACACATTGCTCTATTTTCATTTTAAACATTTATTTAATTTTAATTCTTAATTTTACTTAATTTATTTTCATAATTTGTAATAATATAATAAAAATAACGCAAAGTAAAATATATTTATATTTACATATATAATATATATATATATATATTTGCATTTTAAAAAACGCAATTTATATATGAATTATTTATAAATAATAATTTTGTGACAGCAATCATTACAAAATGTATTGATAAAACATAATATGTATATACCATTTGTGAAATACGTCTCGAGATATTTCTTTAGGCCAAATCACATTATAGAAATAGACAGAGTAATGATGTGTTATGTCAAGAAACCAGAAACATGAGCGTTTGCTAAAATTACCGGGCCACCTCAACGCGCGCATAAATTCATATTTTATCATGAAATGCATAAATGCATCATTTCAGCATATTTTAAGTGATGCTTTTTGAATACTCTTATGCACACGTTCGTCGATAACTCAGCCGCGAGTATTCCATAAATGAATATCATATTTTCTAATTTTCTAATTTTCATGTTAATAAAATCTTTAGTTCTATTAATAATGACTATTTATTACCGTCGAATTAAAAATTTGCTGCGCGCATCTCATATGATATTTTAACATATAAATTAATTTTTTTTTATTATAAAAATGTAATGTATTAAAAATATTATTTTTTAATTTGCTTATTAGTTTGTTAAAATAAGACTTTAATCGTTATGAAATGACGTTTATTATAGAAAGCTTTAATCGCTGAAACAATGTCACATGATGTCGGCGATAAATTCGCGAATTGAAATTAAAATCAGTTAATTGATAATCCCGTGATAGAGTATCGTCCGAAACGTTCAACTAATTAAATCGGTAATTAAAGGCCGTAAGGAAGGTCGTGGATGAAGGAAACGGGGGTAGCCAAGGATCTTCTCTGGGATATTCTTCTGGAAGGAAATAAGCTGCTGTTAATTTATCGTAATCGCTCGGTGTGACTAAGTAAGTGAGCGACGCCTCGCAATATTCTTTATTAAAATATCAAGCTGCTTTTCTCTCCTTCGCGCGTCTGCTCGATTTTATCCCCGAAACGCAACTCATCTCCGAGCAAGAAACAATCTCAATATTATTAATCCCCATCGTGTACGATACTTTTACGCATTTTTAGTTTATTATTCTCATTTTGTATATCATATTAAATTAGTTCACATTACTGTAGGATTAAATATAATTTTAATCGCACATATTTATATACACACAGAAAAAACAGTATCCTTAAAAGAATGCAAATATGCTTTGATTCAAGTATATTTTATCCTGACAATAGCGCCAAATATAAATAATTTTGGATAAAGAATAATTTATCCTTAAAACAAAGTGCAAAATATTCTTGGTTGAAGCTGAAATTTACTTATAAATATTGCAAGGACAAGTGACAAGTGAGCATCGGATATAAGCGGTACTTTCAAATATATATAATAATTTTTAGTTCAAATGTGACTAAGTTTTGTTTTTACCATATGCGATTTTTAAAACAAGAATATTATTATTAAGGCAAATGAAAATTTGTGATTACAAAGAGCATTCCATGCTTAAATCAATCAAATAGCGTTCGAGAATAAAAATATACTTGAATCAAGGATTCCTTTTTTTCTGTGGCTTGGTTCATTCATTTTTTGATTTTACCGCAGTCGCACATTAAACGTAAGAATATTATTTTGATTATTCAAATGGCGCCCATTTCGCGCTGTCGTTAAAATCTCTTTGGCGTTTGCTCACTCAGGAAATCGAGGATAAACGAAAAGTTTTTTCGACCACTCCCGACATCCGAGAGCGGAGGTGACGTTAATTCCCGGCGACAGGGGTAAAACGCTTCGCCATCCGGAAGGACACGCGTGACACCGTTTCGATCGATATATACTCGTGTACCGAGGGATGCGGACCCCAGTAATCGCATCACGAGGCGATATCTCGATTCGTTTAATCGAACGGAGGCGACGACGATGAGCAAGAGTCGCACGGACATTGCGAAAGTTGTTCTTTCACTTCTTTTTATCCCGTTGTCCTTTCACTGCGGATTAATTAGCTGATCCATGAGTCAGCGTGACGGATCGTGACGAGAACGAGAAGTGACGTGACTCTTTCCTTAATTCGACGCGCAAAAGCTGTGCCGAAAGTGAAAGTAAAATTCACATTTCTGTATTTTTATTTCACCCGATTTTTTCCCTAATGGTTTCGAACTTTTTAATTTGTGTATTTTTTAAATTCGTGCACGTTTTGTTTTTATCATCCGTCATACGTGAACGTATTCAAGTGGCTTACGTTCTTAACTGATGCGAATTAATTCAGATTGATACAGCTTCGATAAACAAATAAAGAGATAAGAGATAA